TACATCTTCGCGGCACCCGGATGAAAGGAATACCGCGAGCTATGGGCCTCCTCCAGAATCAACTCCCGAAGCCCATCTACATTGGGCACACATATTCGGCCCTGCATCCTCAACACCCCATCATCACCAATGGTCACATCTCTGGCATCATCGTGCTGAACTCTTTCCTTAAGGACAAGCAAATGAGGATCATCATACTGAAGCTCTCTGATGCGATCGAATAAGGAAAACCGAGAAATCACACAAGCCAATACTCGACTAGGCTCCGAAATATCTAACCTCACGAACCGATTGGCCAATGCATGAACATCAACTGCAAGAGGTATCTCCTCAACTAGAATGTATGCCAAACTCCCCATACTCACCGCCTTCCTACTCAAGGCATCAACCACCACATTGGCCTTTCCCGGATGATACAAAATAGTGATATCATAGTCCTTTAGCAGCTCCAACCATCTTCGCTGCCTCAAATTGAGATTCTTCTATTTGAACAAGTACTGGAGGCTACGATGATCAGTAAACACCTCACAAGACATACCATACAAATAATGCCTTCAAATCTTCAACGCGTGAACAATGACAGCCAACTCCAAATCATGAACATAGTGTTCTCCAAGATTGATCTCCGTTTAGGTTATCACCAGTTGAAGATCAGAGACTCGAATATTCTTAAGACAACCTTCAGGACCAGATACAGTCATTATGAGTTTCTTGTTATGTCTTTTGGGCTGATCAATGCCCCGGCAACGTTCATGCATTTGATGAACAACGCATTTCGGCCTTATCTCGACTCGTTCGTGATTGTTTTCATTGATGATATTCGAGTGTACTCACATAGTCAGGAGGAGCATGCGGAGTATTTGAGAGTTATGTTGCAGAGATTGAGGGAGGAGAAGCTTTATGCAACTTCCATTGAACATTAAAATTTATTTTCTGAAAGATAGTGTTCTTCCCAAAAGAGGGGAGCAGTTACAACAATTAATTATAATAATAGTAGCAATTTGAACGGACACTTTCCTGATTATGGGAAGGTTACAACTTACAACATTGAATATAATGGTGTCTATTAAAGGAGAAAGAAAGCAATACGGTACGTACAATTCTGTGATTCACTTTATTTTCGTTTGATAACCAAAACTTGATGCCTTGATCATTCATTTTAATTAATTTCGTTTTCTTTTTCGGCTTTCATTTTTACAGATTATTATAATATTTACTTGAGCACAAGAAAATTGTCTTTTTCCAATTTGAATTTCTTATACAGATTCTTTAGGTCATTATTCGGAGGGAGTAAAATCTCATCTTACGCTTTTAATTATTTCCCCCATTTTGGCAATTACCTTATTTAAATAGCCCAAACCTCTTTAAATATGATTAATCAACTATTCTCTACTATTATAATTGATATTAATTACTATTAATAATATATATATACACACACACCATTTGTGTGCTCTTTCGTGGCGTCAAACTTTAATTATCCAATACTTTTCATTTAGTGCTTGTATAATATTTTTTCTTCCTAGAAGTAACATGCATGGTTCCGTTGTATGAGTCCAAATTTGACCGATCACGACACACGACGATTAACGAAGCCTCCTTGAATTGACGTCCTGAGGGAGACGACCCTGAAATAAACCAGAGACTGGACGACCTTTGTAATAATGTATGGTCATTAGGGGATATCGGTTTAGAAGAGTTTCTCTCTTAATATAAAAAGAGGACAATAATCTTGTAACGGGCATTCCGAACTCTGGAGACATTACTATTTATGAATAAAAAGAAATTTCGTGACCTATCCTCTCTTTATTTATCACCCTTCTAGAGATTATTATTCTCAGCTAAGATTTACTCTTTCTTCTTTGATTGATTTGTTCAAAAAAGTTTTAATATCTTTTGAGCCAAACATCCGCTCTTACATGAATACCTAATAATATGTGACATTTTTTGGCTTTCGTATTCTTCAAATCTCAAAAGTCATTAAATATTACTGATACATGTACCTAATATAATTTATGATAGTATTTAAATAGGGATGGAACTTCTCGAAGATTGCATTTGCTCCCCAGCATACTGTCATTATATATAAAAGTACAAAAAAATTCGATACTTTTTTTAGATTTATTCCTATTTTAGTTCTAATATGTGATTATTCCTTAGTGATTTTTTTTTTAAATTTTTTTCATATGTATGTGTGTATATATATATATATATGCACGTGCATCGCGTTCGCGCACTCTTCTCTCTCGGCTAAATTTGCAAAAACATTATTTGGTAAATTCACTTTTTACTGCACGAAGCACAAATAAGTTAACTAGTTCTAATTAAAAATTGGAAACGGGGACATAATACCAAGTAGCATAAATAGTTGTAATTACTAATGGGAAAAGCTCCCTCAAAAACATCGCATTGAGGCAAGTTGTATCCAAACAAGACTGAATTACGACAAACGATCGAATTTATATTTCGTCGAACATGGCTGGTAGCCTTGTATAGATCATTAGTTTTGACAAAGTTAGACGCAACTTAAACTTCCTCCAACATGGCTGATTTAGATAAGTAATTTTCTTTGTCAAATTAAATGCCAATAAAGTCTTGCTTTATTTTTTCCCCACTACCATAATTATTAAAAGGCTAAATTCTGAGCTAGATAGCCTCTTAAACTTAGCTCGATTTGTTAGTTAGAATTCACAAACTTCACATTTGCTAGAATGGTTCATTGATGAGGGTAGTGAAAAGAAAATGCTCAAATGCAGGGTGGCTCAAACACATGTATAAAGCTAGAATTTAATGTGCGTCCTAAATATTTTTTTAAAAAATGGTATGATATATACAGAGGCGGCCCGACAAATTTTGTGGCCTAAAGCCAAACTTTATGAGGGGCCTTAACTTTTTAATTTTTTTAATTATTTATTTGAAGTCTATTTTTTTTAGCTTTTCTTAGATGCAAAGTTATTAATAGTTTTCTTATAATCAATAACTCCTAATAAATATTTCTCAATTGACAATATAGCTTATCAATTTAACCTTTCTTGTGAAATTGTTATTTTTAGGTAAGATTTTATCAATTTTAATTTTGAAAACTTCTTTCCGCTGAACCAACGGTAACATGAGTTATGAACATTATTCCATAAGCAATATAGGCATTTGAAAAAAAAATCTTTTTATTTGATTAAGTGTATCAATTAAACTGTTATCTTCTAATTGTACTATTTTTCTTAATACTTTTAATTCAGAAAATAAATCTAAACCATTAATATCGAATTGATTACTATGCTTTAAGTAACATTCAAGATTAAGGCAATATTTTTTCAAATTTCCAACATTTAGTGATCTTAGTTTTTACTGCCAAATAGAAAACCAAAAATATTTTCATATACTTCGAATTGTTCAAAATCTATTTTGAAGTGAAAAAATAGCCTTGTCTATTATGTATAAAAGTAATCAACTCTAAAGGACTCTTCGAAAGATTTTGAGATTTCATTATTAACATTCGCATCAAATTGTTACTTCTTATATATAACACGTTTCTTATGTAATTCAGGTTCGATATTCATTTCAAGTACAATTTCCTTGGTAGAAATCATAGCAGTTGCAAATTCTTCTTCTCTATATTTGTTAAATAAAGAAATCAAACCTTTTCACTTTACAAAACTCTTTTTTAAACTTATACATAGTCTATTAGGTGTCACAAAAAATGGGGTCTCCCACAAATGTGGGGCCTAAAGCAATTGCTTTACTTGTTTTATGAAAAGGCCGTCCATGGATATATATATTTATTTGAAATCTATTCTTCTAATTTTTTGAGATGCATAGTTGTTAATAATTTTCTTATAATCGATTTCTTTCAGCAATCTCTTTTCAATTGATAATATAACCAATATTTAGTCTTTTCTAAGACACTATTGATCTTAGATAAACTTTATTAATTTTAATTTTTTTTTCACTGAGGCAACTATTATAGGAACTGTCAATATTATTCTATAAGCAAGTGAAAAAAAATTAAGTTTTTTTTTATCTTCTACTTGTAGTATTTTCCTTGTCAATTCAATTGCAATTCACACGTTAGAAAACTATTCATACTGCCCATTTTTAAGTAAGTCAAACAATTATTTTATTTAAATATCTAAAAAAAAGTTCTTTCCTTTTATATCCCTATTTTTTTTTTATAGTAAACGCTTGTATAATTAATCTCTTGCCCTCGATTTATCCGCAATGATTTAACTTATATACAGTCTAAATAAATTTTATACTAGTAATGAAGTTAAAATCAAAGTTGTTCTTCGAAAAATGACTTTAGCCTAAAAGCGAGGAAAGTCATTTTTTCATTTTAATATGGTAACTAAATATTAGAATAACTTACTCGAAAAATATTTATTTTATTGTAAAAAAATGACACCAAATAGTTATTCTAGAGTACTTCTATTTAGGAATTATCCAATGGATCCTGAATTTCAGTTTTTCAGGACTTTGTGTCCTGAAATTAAAATTTTAATTCAAATTTTCAAAATATAAGTATTGGCTAATTCCTAAATAGCAGCTCTAAAATGGTTATTTGTGTACTTTCTCCTATTTTAGTGAAACAAAAGGAACGGGCCTTTCTAAGTGGGCTGCACTATGATAACGTTCGTCCTATTATGAGATGGAATTAACCCAAATAACTGCTCACCCTACTACTTAAACTATAAATAGCCGATGAATGTATAATATATGTATAATTTATATGTTACATGTGTATAATTGTGTATAATCAATATATAATCTATGTATATGGCTAGAAAAAGTAAAGAATTAATATAGCTGGCTATTTGTGTAAAGATCCCTTCATTAAAGTTATAGCCCATTGTTGAATCCCAAAAAGACAAAAAAGAAAGCCACGTCATATATCCTCGTAACACAATGTAAGTAAGATTCTTAACCGTTGGATTTTGTTCCAATCCATAATCTTCAACCGCTCATTTAGTATACTTTGTTTTTTTTCTGGTTCAGATATTCTCTCTTTAGTTCTTTGATTCCTAGTTTTTGAGTAGCAATTTTCTACTGTGCTTTTGAAGCTGACACTCTTCTTTCTTTGTAGGGACATCTCTCTCTCTCTCTTTCTCTCTTTTTCACTGTGTGTTTGTGTGTGCCATGGCAACTGAAAGCTTCAACAAACCTCCATCATACCCTGAGGTAAACCAAGCTTTCAACTTTCCCTTTTTGCTTTTTTCATTTTTTTTTTGCATCTCATTTTTTAACATTTTTAGATCAGAATTATACCCCTAAAGTCTTATATTTTCAAACAAACACAAAAAAAATGATTTTTTTACCCATATTTCAGTGATTTTTTTCTTAATTCTTGATGAAAGATGTAATCTTTAAAGTTACATGCAAGAACCCTTTAACCCTCATTGTAATATAAACAAGAAAAAAAAATTCTAGCCTTTTGCCTTTGTTATGGGTAATTCACTTAATATTTCTCTAATTCTTCAGGACTTAGTGCTTGTAAAGTTTGAGTTTTTGCAATTGTTGCTCAATTCCCTAGAATTTTTTTGTAAAAGAAGAAAAAATCAGCAGTTTAAAGTTACTATTTTTACTGTTTTAATGGCTCCCACATGAACATATATGATATCAGGAATGCTTTTTTTAACAGATCTGCATGTTTGTTTCTTGAAAAAGAAAAAAACACAAGAATTTCAAAAATAAAGATTTGGGTTTTGTTTTAACAGATGATATATGAAGCCATTGAAGCACTAAATCAAGAAGGGGGTTCAAACAAGTCATCAATATCTACTTACATTGAATCAAAATATGGAGATCTGGGTAAAGATCATTCAGAGTTTCTAACTTTACATTTGGACAACATGAAGCAAACTGGAGAGCTCATTTTCCTTAAGAACAATTACATTAAACCTGGTTCAGATGTTCCTCAGAAAAGGGGTAGAGGCAGACCACCAAAGCCAAAAGTTCCTTTACCACCTGGTGCAGAATCTGCAGAAATTGCATCACCAAGGCCAAGAGGAAGGCCAAGAAAAGATCCCAATGCACCACCTACTTCAAAGAAGCCAAAGCCAACACCTGCAGCCCCAAATTCCACAGGGAGGCCTAGGGGTAGGCCTAGGAAAGTTAGGCCACAGCCTGCACAAGATGATGATGATGTTGAGGAAAGCTGAAAAATAAATTGTAGGCTTATTGTTGGACTAGATCTGTTGATGGTGATGACTCTAGTTATGACTTAGTTGTCTTATTTTTCTTTTTGTTTAGGTATTAGTATTCGCTTTTGTCAGACTTGTTGTCGTGTGACCAGGGGTTAGGGATTCAAAGCGGTACAAGTAGTCTCTTGTAGAAATGTAATGTAAGACCGTGACCAGTAGACTGATGTGGTTTGGCTCTTTCTCGAATCCTGTCAAATCCTGTTTGCTATCAGTAGACTGATGTGGTCCGACTCTTTCTCAAATCTTGCGTGCAGTGGTAGCTTAGTGTTGCAGCCCTTTTATTAGTATGATCTCCTCTTGGTTAATGCCTCACATGTAGTGGATTATTACTTTCTGTAGTTCTAGTAGGATTGTGTATGTGTTTAGCTCTTTGTTCAAGATTCACTGTAGAGAGATCTGTAATCCTTGTTACTATGTGTAATTGCTGCACTTTTCACTCTGTTATCTATATGTTAAAATTAGAATGCATCTTTTTGAAACTGTCCTTTTACCATTGAAGTATCTTAGTTTTGAGTTCTAACTTGTCCCAAAGGTATGATTGATTACAAGATTAGCATGAGCCATATACTTTTGTTGGGCAAATTCATCATGACTCGTGCTTTTGTGTTGTAGTATTAGGTTATTTGATGAATTAGTAGAAGTTGAATTATTGGATGCCACCATACTTTTTAAAAAAGACTTTTGAGTCTTATAATTAAATATTTTTCAAACTTTTTGAAGTTTGATTGTTTGGGCTGAGGCGTAGTTATTGAGAATATAGTACACTGGTGATTTGGAGTTAGTTATTGATGGTAACTGCTAAAGTGAGTTTCTAATGGAGCTCAAGTGGGAAAAAAATAAAAGAATATTATTGGATAAGAGGATAATGAGATGAAGACATTGTAGTGGATTAAAAGGTCATGAATTAACAGGTTTTGTTGGACAAGAGACATAATGTGTAAGAACTAGATTGTCTCTATATGGAGACATTATCTCTTATCCATATAAAAATTGTTACTATAATCATGTCTTTATCTAAGGCAGTTAAGGTCCCACTTAAGGTTGGAATCCTGATCTATTAGGACAAGTCCTTTGATGCCTCCTAGTGGGAGCAGCAGATTGTTGGAATCTTCTTATGCGTGTTTGTATATGAGTTAAAGGGTCAAAACTTCTTGGTGGTGGAAGCTGTGATTGGATGCAATGAAGAATATTTGAGAGTGTCACTCAGAAGAAGCGAATCTAGAATTTGTAAGTTCGTGTTTGCAGAGTTTATATATTGAATGTATGAATAAAGTATCATATTGAAAGTTGATAAAAAAGAAGAAAGCTATATATAAGGTAGGGATACTTTGCGGAATTTTAGAAAAAATTAGTTTGGCTCAAAACGAATAGTATTATATCACACTAAGTGGGGCCAATGACACAAATAACATTGAAAGAAGCTGGTCTTGAACTTTTGACATTTGAGGCAGATCACTTGATCAACGTCCAAAACTTTTAACTTTTGACCTTAAGTTTGTCTATTGATCAACTGATCGCCCCATCGCCAAAAGTTAAAAACCACCGTTTATGGTGTTCTATTTCTGCCATTTTCTGCACTAAGTGAAGAGTGTCTTTGAATTAGCTTAGTCCATTCTGTTTCTTGGTTAATGACCTACTTTATCAAGTATAGTTTGAAATCAGTAGCAAAAGTAGACATTCAACAGAAATATGAAATCAATAAATTTTGACAAGGGGGTAAAGTTGGGAAATTGGCACATGTCAAGAATCAGGACCACCCCTAGTTTAATGCTCATCTTTTCAACAGAAACTGCAGTAGGATGCTGTGACAACATAATGGTCCATCATTATGGTCTTGTCTTAGTACAGCTGTAGAATCTTGCCAAAGTTGTGCTTTATGTTGACATACAAGGACCAGAGAGTAGCACCATTGTTTGGATATTGCCATTCACTTGTTCAATTTTTTTTTTTTTTTGATATAACTATCTGGTATTACATACACATTAATCCGATTAATCCATATTCAATATCATAGAGGGTCCGAATGAATACTTTCCTACCTTCCTAAATGAACAATTCAACGGCCAAGAGGTTGCAATTCAAACAGTAGTGTCATTTGCTTTTAATAACAATTCAACGGCCAAGAGGTTGCAATTCAAACAGTAGTGTCATTTGCTTTAGTGCACTGTGCTGCCTTTTTATTAGGGAAAAATTTAAGAATAGTCAGATTTACAAATGGTCGTTCAAAAATAGTCCGGTTTCAAAAGTAATCGAAATTTAGCCACTTTCATGTAAAGATAAATGGGAACGAAAAAACTGTTTAAAATCCGGAAAAATGCTCCAGCATAATATACTGGAGTTCCAGTATAATATACCAGTCCGGCATAATATACTGGAGTTTGGAGCACCGGTGCTCCAGTTTTCAGTATATTATACTGGAGCTAGCAAAGTATACCGGTCCAGCATAATATGCTGGAAGTTCATACACAGGTGCACCGAACTCCAATATATTATGTTGGACCGGTCTCTATTGCAGCAAAATAGTGGCTATTTTTCATTGACTTGGTAAACGCTGGCTATTTTTGAATGACCAGTCTGAAAACTGGCTAGACCGTGCTATTTGAATGCCAAAGCTAGTTTTTCAAGGTGAGGGTACCTTGTTTCGGTATCGATTAAGGTTTTGCTGATATAGTAAATCGGAGATTGCGTACCTTCGTTTTTGCGGACCAAGACTGCGCTTACCGCAACTTCAGAGACCGCTAGATACACAAGTAGACATTCACCTATGTCTGCCTTGACGAGTAGGGGTGGCGAAGATAGATACGCTTTCAGTTTTCTCAAGGCGTCGACGCATTCTGCATTCCATTGCAGTCTGTGGTCTTTCCTTAGCGCATTGTAGAATTTATGGCATCTATCCGATAATCGTGAAATGAACCTCGACAGGGCGACTATTCATCCTGTTAATTTTTGCACCTGCTTTTTGCTGGCCAGTACCTACGGTATTCCATCGATGGCTCTAATCTGGTCCGGGTTGACCTCGATACCCCTTTATGACACTAGAAAACCAAGGAACTTTCCTGAAGTTATGTCGAAGACGTATTTTTCGGGATTCAGCTTCATCCCGTATTGCCTCAATATCTCGAAGACCTCCTTCAGATGGCCGATGTGATCCTCTTTCTTTGTCGATTTTACTAGCATGTCGTCGATGTAAACCTCCATGGTCTTACTGAGTTGTTCTTTGAACATCTTGGTGACTAACCTTTGATATGTCGCCCCCGCATTCTTGAGTCTGAACGGCATTACCTTGTATCAGTACGTTCCTCGGTGACTGATGAAAGTGGTCTTTTCTTGATCTTCTTCAGCCATTAGAATTTGGTTGTAACTGGAATAGGTGTCCAAAAAGCTCAGTTATTCGTGCCCCGCTGTTGCGTCGATGAGCTGATCGATGTGCGGTAATGGAAAGGAATCTTTCGTGCATGCTTTGTTCAAGTCGGTGAAGTCAACACACATCCGCCATTTCCCGTTCTTCTTTTTTACCATGACCACATTGGCGACCCATTGGGGGTATTTCGACTCTCTAATGGAACCATTGGCGAGTAATTTATCAACCTCCTCGCTGACCGCCTCATTGATGGTGGCATTGAACTTTCTCCTCATTTGCCATATCGGCGGGTAAAGAGGATCAACGTTCAGCATGTGTGTGGCGATATCCCTTGGGATTCCTGGCATATTTGAGTGAGAAAATGCAAATAAATCGGCGTTGTTAGTTAAGAACTCACGATATTTACCTGGTTCCGAGAGGTTGTGTCCGACATAAGCCTTTTTCCTGCTATCGGTATTGTCTAGTTGAATGGGATCAAGATCTTCTACTGTTGCTTTGCAAGCTTCTTTGACGTCCGGGTCTTTGATGGCTTTTACTTGTGCGTCGGGTTTGGTTCCCGACATGACTGATTGTTATGCCTCCGCACTTTCCCCTTTTAGTTGTTTGATGTGTGTGCAATCTTGGGCTATCCGGTAGCATTCTTGGGCGGTGCGTGGCTCGCCTCGGATGCTGAATATCTCCCATGGGGTGGGAAATTTGATTACTTGATAGAAACTCGACGGGACGGCGCGCATGGCGTGTATCCATGGTCGTCCTATGATGGCATTGTAGGTTGTTTCTTGGTTCATGACGTGGAATGACGTTTCCAGGGTGACTCCTCATGCCAGGACGGGCAGCACTATTTCCCCAGAGGTTCGTTCCACTGCGTTATTAAAACCCGTTAGTGTTATACAATGCGGTATTATTTTATCCTCGAGACTCATCTGCATGAGAACTCGTGGGTGAACAATACACACGTCGCTTTCGTCATACATCGTTATTCTTTTTACATCGGTATCTGCGATGCGTAAAGTTATAACCAAAGCATCATAGTGAGGGACAGACAAAACGTCGGTATCCGACTTATCAAAAATGATACTGTCTTTGAGGTCGTCATACCGTTTGTGGGCAACCGTCCGTTTGAATTTATGTGTGGTGGTGAATTTCACATGGTTGATTATCGTGTCGTTGCTGCCGCCAATGATTATTTGTATAGTACGAGCTGGTGATGGTGGTTTTGGAGGTCCTTGAGGTTGATCGCGTCCACGAGTGAAGTTGGCCCTTCCTTGGTTGCTCAGCAGTTCTTTCACGTATCCTTGGTTTTAACATTCTTACCACTTCTTGTAGCAGACCTATGCAGTCTTCGGTATTGTTTCCTCTTTCCTGGTGGAATTCACATAGAACGTTCGATCTCTTGGTGCTCGGATCCGACTTTATCTTTTGCGGCCACTGCACCTTCGTGCCGAGCTTTTCCAGTGCGTACACAATTTCTGAAGGAAAAACACAAAAGTTATGAGCAGATAACAGTGGAGGCATACCTCTTTCGTTTCGAGGGGGGGGGGATGTGTCGAGGCGCGACGTCTGCATGTTGTGGAGGAGGGGGATTGGGTGTTCGGATATAGGGCTGGTGCCTTTCTCGGTTGAAACATGGTAGTTAATCCCTTCGACCGTCATTGCGGCGATCTCTCCTTGTCTCGGTTTGGACTGATGTTAATCGCTGGAGCGGACCGTTCAGGTCATCCTCATCTACTCTCACTTCGGCGCAATAGGCATTATGGATCTCTTCCCATGTAGTAGGGGTACTTCATGAGTCTACTTGGACCCGTTTCTATTCAGCCCATTTTGAAAGGCTGCTATTGCCATCCCTTCTGACACGTTCGGTAGGCTCATCCTTACCCTGTTGAATCGGGCTAGGAAATCCCGAAGTCCCTCGCCCGTGGTTTGCCTGACGGCGAAGATATCGTTGACCCTAGCCTCTGCCTTTTTCGCCCCCGCGTGAGCGGTGGCGAACTTATCTGCCATCTCTTCGAACGTTGATATCGATCGCGCTGGTAGTTAGGAATACCATGTCAATGCTCCCCTTGTCAGAGTTTCGCCGAACTTTTTCAGCAGTACAGACGA